TGTGGTGAGGAGACCTGAAAGTGGCACACTCGGCAGAGTGTGGCGATGGAGACAGCAAGCAATGGGAGGCCGTACAGGGGACCCTTGACGAGACTCTGGACCTGGCAGCAGCATGAGGAGGCGGTATATAGGGGCCTATGGCAGATTAGGGGCCTGGCAGCAGCTATGGGAGGCCCGTAATCTGCCAGCACCCTATGTCAAAAAAATTCAACACACCAGCAGTGTAGTGAGGAGACCTGAAAGTGGCACATGGCAGAGTGTGGCGATGGAGACAGCAGCAATGGGAGGCCGTACAGGGACCCATGAGAGACTCTGGACCTGGCAGCAGCATGAGGAGGCCGCCGTACAGGGACCCATGACAGACTCTGGACCTGGCAGCAGCATGAGGAGGAGGCGGTATATAGGGGCCTATGGCAGATTAGGGGCCTGGCAGCAGCTATAGGAGGCCCATAATCTGCCAGCACCCTATGTCAAAAAATTCAACACACACCAGCAGTGTGAGGGACCTGAGTGGCACATGGCAGAGATGGCACAATGGAGGCCGAGGGGACCATGGACTCTGGACTTGGCAGCAGCATGAGGAGGCGGTATATAGGGGCCATGGCAGATTAGGGGCCTGGCAGCAGCTATGGGAGGCCCGTAATCTGCCAGCACCCTATGTCAAAAAAAAATTCAACACACCAGCAGTGTGTGAGGAGACCTGAAAGTGGCACATGGCAGAGTGTGGCGATGGAGACAGCAGCAATGGGAGGCCGTACAGGGGACCCATGACAGACTCTGGACCTGGCAGCAGCATGAGGAGGCGGTATATAGGGGCCTATGGCAGATTAGGGGCCTGGCAGCAGCTATGGGAGGCCCGTAATCTGCCAGCACCCTATGTCAAAAAATTCTACACACCAGCAGTGTGTGAGGAGACCTGAAAGTGGCACATGGCAGAGTGTGGCGATGGAGACAGCAGCAATGGGAGGCCGTACAGGGACCCATGACAGACTCTGGACTGGCAGCAGCATGAGGAGGTGGTATATAGGGGCCCATGGCAGATTAGGGGCCTGGCAGCAGCTATGGGAGGCCCGTAATCTGCCAGCACCCTATGTCAAAAAATTCTACACACCAGCAGTGTGTGAGGAGACCTGAAAGTGGCACATGGCAGAGTGTGGCGATGGAGACAGCAGCAATGGGAGGCCGTACAGGGACCCATGAGAGACTCTGGACCTGGCAGCAGCATGAGGAGGCGGGTATATAGGGGCCATGGCAGATTAGGGGCCTGGCAGCAGCTATGGGAGGCCCGTAATCTGCCAGCACCCTATGTCAAAAAATTCTACACACACCAGCAGTGTGTGTGAGGAGACCTGAAAGTGGCACATGGCAGAGTGTGGCGATGGAGACAGCAGCAATGGGAGGCCGTACAGGGACCCATGACAGACTCTGGACCTGGCAGCAGCATGAGGAGGCGGTATATAGGGGCCTATGGCAGATTAGGGCCTGGCAGCAGCTATGGGAGGCCCGTAATCTGCCAGCACCCTATGTCAAAAAATTACACACACCAGCAGTGTGAGGAGACCTGAAAGTGGCACATGGCAGAGTGTGGCGATGGAGACAGCAGCAATGGGAGGCCGTATATAGGGGCCCATGGCAGACTCTGGGCCTGGCAGCAGCATGATGAGGAGGCCGGTATCTATAGGGCCCTATGGCAAAAGATTAGGGGCCTGGCAGACCTGCCTATGGAGGCCCGTAATCTGCCATGGCACCCTATGTCAAAAAAATTCTACTGGCCAGCAGCAGTGTGTGAGGAGACCTGAAAGTGGCACATGGCAGCAGTGTGGCGATGGAGACAGCAGCAATGGGAGGCCGATACAGGGACCCATGACAGACTCTGGACATGGCAGCACCTGAGGAGGCGGTATATAGGGGGCCTATGGCAGATGGCAGGGGGCCCTGGCAGCAGCTATGGGAGGCCCGTTAATCTGCCAGCACCCTATGTCAAAAAAAATTAACACACCAGCAGTGTGGAGGAGACCTGAAAGTGGCACATGGCAGAGTGTGGCGATGGAGACAGCAGCAATGGGAGGCCGTACAGGGACCCATGAGAGACTCTGGACCTGGCAGCAGCATGAGGAGGCGGTATATAGGGGCCCATGGCAGATTAGGGGCCTGGCAGCAGCTATGGGAGGCCCGTAATCTGCCAGCACCCTATGTCAAAAAATTCTTCACACCAGCAGTGTGTGAGGAGACCTGAAAGTGGCACATGGCAGAGTGTGGCGATGGAGACAGCAGCAATGGGAGGCCGTACAGGGACCCATGAGAGACTCTGGACTGGCAGCAGCATGAGGAGGCGGTATATAGGGGCCTATGGCAGATTAGGGGCCTGGCAGCAGCTATGGGAGGCCCGTAATCTGCCAGCACCCTATGTCAAAAAATTCAACACACCAGCAGTGTGTGAGGAGACCTGAAAGTGGCACATGGCAGAGTGTGGCGATGGAGACAGCAGCAATGGGAGGCCGTCAGGGACCCATGACAGACTCTGGACCTGGCAGCAGCATGAGGAGGCGGTATATAGGGGCCTATGGCAGATTAGGGGCCTGGCAGCAGCTATGGGAGGCCCCGTAATCTGCCAGCACCCTATGTCAAAAAATTCAACACACCAGCAGTGTGTGAGGAGACCTGAAAGTGGCACATGGCATGCAGAGTGTGGCGATGGAGACAGCAGCAATGGGAGGCCGTACAGGGACCCATGAGAGACTCTGGACCTGGCAGCAGCATGAGGAGGCGGTATATAGGGGCCTATGGCAGATTAGGGGCCTGGCAGCAGCTATGGGAGGCCCGTAATCTGCCAGCACCCTATGTCAAAAAATTCAACACACCAGCAGTGTGTGAGGAGACCTGAAAGTGGCACATGGCAGAGTGTGGCGATGGAGACAGCAGCAATGGGAGGCCGTACAGGGACCCATGACAGACTCTGGACCTGGCAGCAGCATGAGGAGGCGGTATATAGGGGCCCATGGCAGATTAGGGGCCTGGCAGCAGCTATGGGAGGCCCGTAATCTGCCAGCACCCTATGTCAAAAAATTCTACACACCAGCAGTGTGTGAGGAGACCTGAAAGTGGCACATGGCACCAGCAGTGTGGCGATGGAGACAGCAGCAATGGGAGGCCGTACAGGGACCCATGAGAGACTCTGGACCTGGCAGCAGCATGAGGAGGCGGGTGGTATATAGGGGCCCATGGCAGATTAGGGGCCTGGCAGCAGCTATGGGAGGCCCGTAATCTGCCAGCACCCTATGTCAAAAAATTCAACACACCAGCAGTGTGTGAGGAGACCTGAAAGTGGCACATGGCAGAGTGTGGCGATGGAGACACAGCAGCAATGGGAGGCCGTACAGGGACCCATGACAGACTCTGGACCTGGCAGCAGCATGAGGAGGCGGTATATAGGGGCCTATGGCAGATTAGGGGCCTGGCAGCAGCAGCTATGGGAGGCCCGTAATCTGCCAGCACCCTATGTCAAAAAATTCTACACACCAGCAGTGTGTGAGGGACCTGAAAGTGGCACATGGCAGAGTGTGGCGTGGTGGCATGCAGATGGAGACAGCAGCAATGGGAGGCCGTACAGGGACCCATGAGAGACTCTGGACCTGGCAGCAGCATGAGGAGGCGGGTATATAGGGGCCTATGGCAGATTAGGGGCCTGGCAGCAGCTATGGGAGGCCCGTAATCTGCCAGCACCCTATGTCAAAAAATTCAACACACCAGCAGTGTGTGAGGAGACCTGAAAGTGGCACATGGCAGAGTGTGGCGATGGAGACAGCAGCAGCAATGGGAGGTCTCCCATTGTCCCAACATGGCCCAAATAGTCCCAACATGGGCCCCCTGGCCACGCTTGACTTTCTGGCCACATAGTCGACATACGGCTACGTTTACTTCCTCGGGCGGCTTGACGAAAAATTGCCACACCACCCGAGTAGGAAACTTTGCCCCCGATACTCCTCACTGGCTGACTGCTGCTTCCTCCGTGCACACCGGCACCACTACTGGCCGTGGTGGTAGGCTGCAGTGGAGCTGGTGCTCTACTCCGTGGCCGTTTGGCTCCACTGACACTGCTTCCACTGACACTGCTGCGACCCTGCTGCTGTCTCCTGGGCAACCCACCGACTGTTTCGCTCACTGCCAAGCTGCCACCCTCTTCTCCTGATGATGCGGAAGAAATTGCCTGATGACGACGAGGCTGCCAAGTGCGATCAACCTCCTCATCATCAAGTAGGGTCTCCGCCTCACTACTAGCCCCCTCGGCTGCGTCTGGGTCAGGAGACAGACCTGTCTCTAGACCGGCTACCGGGCCACTCTCCTCGCCACTACTTCTTCGCCTAGCTGCTGAAAAGGCGGATGTCTCCCCCCGTTCCTGACCGCCCTCTGTTAGCTCTTCCTCACTGTACAGTGGGGCTGAGCCCACAGCATGCGATACTTCGCTTGGTGAGGGAACACCAAAGGACAGGGGCAGGTAGAGGACACGTGATTTCAGTGGGCTTGGTCCCGGGGCCATGCCAACTAACGGTTGTGTCTGACGTACCCACCGACCGTTGGCTGTAGGTGTCAGAGGTGACCTGGGAAGAGGAAGACGACCGAGCCAACCAATCGATGACGGCAGGGTTGTCGGTGGAGACACGACCGCTGGATGACACCGGGAGCACTGGCCTCTGGCTGCGAATAGTGCTGCCTCGACCCCTTCCTCTGCTGCCACGTCTGCTCGCTCCTAAAACATTGCCTCCTCTGCCACTCCTCTGCATGTTGTCTGACATACTCTTTAATTAAACGATTATGTGTCCCTGAGTAACAATTCTGTGTCCCTGAGTAACAATTCTGTGTCTGTGCGAGTAACAATTCTGTGGCCCTAAGTAACAGTTCTGTGGCCCTCAGTAACAATTCTGTGTCCCTGATGTAACAATTCTGTGGCCCCGAGTAACATTCTGTGGCCCTAAGTAACAATTCTGTGTCCTCTAAGTAACAATTCTGTGTCTGTCAAGTCTGAGTAACAAGTTTCTGTGGCCCTAAGTAACAGTTTCTGTGGCCCTCAGTAACAATTCTGTGTCTGTCCATTCTGAGTCTGAGTAACAATTCTGTGGCCCTAACTAAAGTTTCTGTGGCCCTAAGTAACAATTCTCTGGCACTCAGTAACAATTCTGTCTGTCCCTGAGTAACAATTCTGTGGCCCAGTAAGTAAAGTTTCTGTGGCCCTGAGTAACAATTCTCTGGCACTCAGTAACAATTCTGTCTGTCCCTGAGTAAACAATTCTCTGGCACTCAGTAACAATTCTGTCTGTCCCTGAGTAAAAATTCTGTGGCCCTAAGTAAAGTTTCTGTGTCCCTGAGTAACAATTCTCTGGCACTCAGTAACAATTCTGTCTGTCCCTGAGTAACAATTCTCTGGCACTCAGTAACAATTCTGTCTGTCCCTGAGTAAAAATTCTCTGGCCTCAGTAACAATTTCTGTCTGTCCCTGAGAGTAAAAATTCTCTGTGGCCCTAAGTAAAAGTTTCTGTGGCCCTGAGTAACAATTCTCTGGCACTCAGTAACAATTCTGTCTGTCCCTGAGTAACAATTCTCTGGCACTCAGTAACAATTCTGTCTGTCCCCCTGAGTAAAAATTCTGTGGCCCTAAGTAAAGTTTCTGTGGCCCTGAGTAACAATTCTCTGGCACTCAGTAACAATTCTGTCTGTTCCTGAGTAACAATTCTCTGGCACTCAGTAACAATTCTGTCTGTCCCTGAGAGTAACAATTCTGTGGCCCTAAGTAAAGTTTCTGTGGCCCTGAGTAACAATTCTCTGGCACTCAGTAACAATTCTGTCTGTCCCTGAGTAACAATTCTCTGGCACTCCGTAACAATTCTGTCTGTCCCTGAGTAACAATTCTCTGGCACTCAGTAACAATTCTGTCTGTCCCTGAGTAGTAAAATTCTGTGGCCCTAAGTAAAGTTTCTGTGGCCCTGAGTAACAATTCTCTGGCACTCAGTAACAATTCTGTCTGTCCCTGAGTATGAATTCTGTGGCCCTAACTAGCGTTTCTTTGTCCCTAAGTAACAGTTCTGTGGCCTGAGTAACATTTCTGTGTCTGTGCGAGTAACAATTCTGTGGCCCTAAGTAACAGTTCTGTGGCCCTCAGTAACAATTCTGTGGCACTGCGAGTAACAATTCTGTGTCTGTGCGAGTAACAATTCTGTGGCCCTAAGTAACAGTTTCTGTGTCCCTCAGTAACAATTCTGTGTCTGTCAGTAACAATTCTGTGTCCCTGCGAGTAACAATTCTGTGGCCCTAAGTAAAGTTTCTGTGGCCCTAAGTAACAATTCTCTGGCTAAGTAACAAGTTCTCAGTAACAATTCTGTCTGTCCCTGAGTAACAATTTCTCTGGCACTCAGTAACAATTCTGTCTGTCCCTGAGTAAAAATTCTGTGGCCCTAAGTAAAGTTTTCTGTGGCCCTGAGTAACAATTCTCTGGCACTCAGTAACAATTCTGTCTGTCCCTGAGTAACAATTCTGTGGCACTCAGTAACAATTCTGTCTGTCCCTGAGTAAAAATTCTGTGGCCCTAAGTAAAGTTTCTGTGGCCCTGAGTAACAATTCTCTGGCACTCAGTAACAATTCTGTCTGTCCCTGAGTAACAATTCTGTGGCCTCAGTAACAATTCTGTCTGTCCCTGAGTAAAATTCTGTGGCCCCTAAGTAAAGTAACAATTCTCTGGCACTCTAAGTAACAATTCTGTCTGTCCCTGAGTAACAATTCTCTGGCACTCAGTAACAATTCTGTCTGTCCCTGAGTAACAATTCTGTGGCCCTAAGTAACAATTCTGTTCTGTGGCCCTGAGTAACAATTCTGTGGCACTCAGTAACAATTCTGTCTGTCCCTGAGTAACAATTCTCTGGCACTCAGTAACAATTCTGTCTGTCCCTGAGTAAAAATTCTGTGGCCCTAAGTAAAGTTTCTGTGGCCCTAAGTAACAATTCTCTGGCACTCAGTAACAATTCTGTCTGTCCCTGAGTAACAATTCTCTGGCACTCAGTAACAATTCTGTCTGTCCCTGAGTAAACAATTCTGTGGCCCTAAGTAAAGTTTCTGTGGCCCTGAG